GAGATTCAACTTCAACTTCTGCAGCGCTTTTCTACTAATATAGTTGTGGGTGGCCCCACTGTCTATAAGGGCCCCTACTCTTACCTCTAAAGACCTCTACATCTACTAAAACTACTTGTCCTTTCACACCCTTCTTCATCTTGGCCCAGGCAGGCATCCTCTCCTTCAACTCTTCTGCCACGCCTATGAGGGAAGTGCCTAGAGAGACCCTAACACAAGCAGTCTTTGGACGGTTGTCTAGGCACTGGCCAGTAACCTCTGCCATAGACACATGCGGTTTGGGAGTTTCTCTATGGTGCGCGGACTCTTCTCCACATGGTCTAGGGGTAAGGGAAGTTGCAACTCCTACCGACGGTTGCCTTTTGCTGCCTGTGCAGCAAACCGGGCCTCTCTACACTTAGGGCAATATTTAATAATATGACCAGGGTCACCGCAATAGATACACTGATCTTGATTTATCCTCCTCTGCCAAACTGTCTGCTCTAGGCCCAAATCTTCCCAGGGGCTACCTTGTGGCAAGCCAGGGTGCCATCCACCCCTCCTGGGAGGTGATAAAGTAAAACGAGAGCGGTTTTGCGGGGGACCTTGACCCCTACCTCCCGCTTGGCGACCTCCTCTGCCACCAACCCCCTGATCACTTTGTCCTCGACCACCGGAAGCATGGCCCCCTAGCGACAGCAGCGTAAGTACTCCCCTGACTCACACTACTGCCCTCCTCCTCGAGGCTCCACTCTATCTGATCATAGGGGACCTCCTCCATACCACCCTCATCTAGAGTCAGGATCAGATGATCCTTGGCCTTGACTTGGCCCGAGATGGTACAGCCCTTCCATTTTTGGTCCTCGTCCGGATCCTTATCCCAAAAGGTGTTAGCTGGCATGGACTGGGCCTCAAAAGCCACTACTTCCCTACTCAGAGTATCGTAGGTCATAGTGGACTCCTTGCTCTTTTCGAAGAAGTGCCCGTGCAAGGGCTCGGGCATGGCACGATAGAATAGTTGGACCAACTAAGTCTCTGTGACTCCATGACCAAGGACAGCTACTAATTCATCCATAACTCCTTGCCCTGGCACTCTTCCACTGGCGTGAGTGGACGATCTGAAGCTTGTCAGAGGCCCTAATCCCTCTAGTCACATCAGCAAATCTCTCGCGCAGCAATTTAAGGAATGCGCTCAGGGAGGTTTTCACAGAATAAGCTACCATATCATTCTCGCAATCTGCAGCGCGGGCAAGCGATTGGGCGAAGCTTGCTGCCTCGTCCCTAAGGGCGTGGAAAGCAATTAGGACTTGCTCCTCAGGCACGATTTTCTGGAGGTGAACATATGAATTAATGTTTGCCTCCCAATTGTCAAAGCTACGTAGCACCGTGTTTGCCTTTGGAGGCGAACACGAACATGTTCGCCCGAACGCGAACAAGCGCCCAAAACCCTCCGATCGCGAACATTAAAAAAAATATATATATCGTCAAATAGATATATATATATATGTTATGTAAAATAATAATACAAGCAACTTTTGCCTTGGAGTCATGTTCAAATTCGTAACAAATCATGAGTTAAAAATCAAAAATCGAAAAAACTTTTTTTTTTTTTTAATGAAAAAAAAATTATGTTCGCCCGAACATGCTCGCTAGCTGTTCGCGCGAACGTGCGAACACGTTCCCCCGAACGTGAAGGGGCGCGAACACGTTCGCCGTGCTACGCAGTGTCAAAGTTTTCTCCCTTCTTTCCACTGTAGGGATCAAGAAACTTAACCTTGACTGGATCAACACGGGGACGTGCTTCTTCCTCCCTTGGAGCTACTAGCTTGGCACCCTCTATGGCACCAGTGCAGAATCGCTTTGTGCTCTCCATCTTGGCCTTTACTTTTGTGCCCACGTGCATCATCATTTCTCGTGCAAACTCCCTGAACCCTACGCGTATGGACTACAGAGCTACATCCTGGCCCCATGCAAACTGATATTGCTCTTCTTGGGCCCTAGCTAGGAGTTCTATATTTTCGCGGCCTGCTCCTGCAATAAGGCCAACTTTTTGGCCTGCTTCACTACCTCCTTCTCCTTTTTGGCCTTTTGCTCGGCCAGAATCCTGGTGGCCTCTTCCTCCTGCTCCTTCGTGTAGGGAGTGGTACTAGCACCACCGCTCGTGTCAACTCTACACGTGAAGGCATTCCAGAAGCCTAGCGGAAAAAGAAGACACCAGAGGTTCCCCCAGAGGGAGAACCCCACGAGCAAGCCGTACATAGCGTAATCATCCATGGTGTTGGGTGCACCACAATGACTGTCCCACTCCTCACCACTTAGACCTACCCACTGGATTGACAGACTGTCTAATGACCACAGGATCCGTATCGGACCCTATCAACTATGGTCACTAGCCTAGACCTTATACTACAGCTGTCACTAGAGGACTTCAATGCTGATCAGGAGGCATTTAAGGAGATCCCCCGTAACTCCTCAGGAATTATTTAACAAACAGACAGGACGACGCGATCAGCAAGTCCTCTCAAAACTTAGATAGCTTGTTGTGCAGCCCACAACTCGGATTTTGGGCCTACCATGCCACACTGAGCAGCCCGCCGGTTTGTACCGGTCCTTGGGAGGGTTTGTCCTCCGGGTCAATCAGTCATCAAACACGACCTTTAGCCCTACTCAGCCCGTGTGGGTTTGGTCAACAAAGCTCTACGACCTCATACACAGAGTTCCTATCACCTGGACAGAAGAGACTCAATGCAGAAAGAAGAGACAGACAGACTCAACAAGTACCATGGGGTGAGTACACATCCATAGGGCGAGGGGATAGGTTGAAGGCTTGGCGAGAATATACCAACTCCAACTTGGTCAAACTCGTGGTCAACATCCCCGATCAACGCTGGTCAACCTCTGGATCAACCTCTCGGTCAACACCTTGGTCAACATCGATCAACCCCTCAGTCAACACCTCGGTCAACCCCTGGTCAATGCTCACTCAATGCCTCCGTAAACCCTTGTGAACGTCCTGGTCAATGCTTTGGTCAACCCCGATCAACTCTCCGATCAACACCTTGGGTCAACGCTCAACTCGGCTGTGGCTGCCGACCCCTTTCCTCCTCATCAACCTTCGTTATTCTCCTTCTCCCTCCTTCCTTCTTTTTCACTTTCTTCTTCCTTCACCCCGGCTATGTCTTTCTTTCTCCCTCTTCGTCTCTCCCTTCTTCTTCCTCGGCTATGGCTTCTCTCTCCTCCGTCCTCCCTTCTCCTTTATTTCGCTTTCTCTCTCCTTGGTAACCTTGTGTCCGAGCTTCAGCGGTTATGGCCGCCACCTTCTGTCTTGGACCGCACAACCAATCTTGTATCGCTCCTCTCTCTCTCTCTCTCTCTCTCTCTCTCTCTCTCTCTCTCTCTCTCTCTCTCTCTCTCTCTCTCTCTCTCTCTCTTCGTCGTTGTCTTCTTTGCAGGTACGCTCCACTTTCCTCCACAGCGCAGCTATGGCGGACCTCCTTTCTTGATGGCGCAACTTCAACTGTGGCGCCCAACTTCAGCGCACCGCTGAGCGATGACGGCGCGTGGAATAGCGGAAACCAGCTCCAATACCAATGAAATCAGACTCGCTTTCTTCTTCACTTCGCATACATGCAAACAGATGGCAATTCACACTGGCGCTGTGCGCCCACACAAAGCTCCGAGATAATCAAGCCGAGAACACAGTTCAGATATAAACTCGCTTGCAACTGGCTATGGCGCTTGAGCACCCACACATCCTCTGTCCAACACTGTGTTCACCCAACCATTCACATGCACTCTACTCCGGATCTCCCTGGATATCCCACGCACACACACTCGGTTCGCACATGCACACACTCACTCTCAATACCACCTATCACTAGCTATGGCAGCTATGGCCGCTCTACTACTGCTGGCTATGAACGAACTATCACCCTTCAGCCCACTTCCACTTCGGGCATCTGCAGACCACCTCGCACAAGACACTATGGCAGCGCTTCCACATTGCTCACGCAGGAATGAATGAATGGTTGGACGCTGCCTCTTGATTTATACTTCTGTAAGTCGCTGATCTGCCCTTTTCCACCGGGCCCATGGTGCACACAGTCCCTCATGGTACTTGCTGACTGTACAAAGTGAGACTGGGACTGGGTACCGCTGACTAAGCGAAGTTGGACTCACCACTTGCCCAGTTGCCTCTGGCCTGCTGTGTATAACGTGAGAAGAAACTTGAAAGGCCACTTCCGGACCTTCCGGAAGTTTGCGGACTTGGCCTTTCAGGACTGTAGCAGCTACGACCTTGACCTTTCAGAACTACAACAACTATGACCCCTATGCAGGTATGACCCCTACTTCGACACGTCTAAGGTTCAAGACCTGACAACTACTCAAACCTATGACAGACAGCTTTCAACTACTAACACACAGGTCACGGGTTCAAGACACACAGGGTCGACTTGATACTGTACACAGGTAAGGTAGAGTAAGATCTGGGAATCGAGCCCTAGGATCCACATCTGTGACTGAAAAAGGTGAAAACCGTTTCAATAAGGCAAATTGACAGTTAATCCTGCAGTACTTGGAGCACGCGATGCCACTCGGGGGTCCTTCGGCCCAGACAGAAGGAATTGTGGGTGTATCTTACATTGTACATTTCATATGACTTGCCAGTAGAAGTGGAACCGAACTGACACTCCCCAGAATGCATATGTATTATGTAGCCATTCCATACGGTCCTGTTTTCTTTCTGTCAACAGAAAAGGAAACCCCACACAGCTAATCCAAGTCGCTAAACCATGAGCAGAGCAGAAACATTACTTCAGCAGAAGGATGACAAGGAAGGTTGAGCCAAAATGGCCTAAAAGTGGCATACATCCCCAGCAAGAGGCAAAAAGGCGGGCAGTACACACCTGCAAGAGTGGACCAACCCCCTACCCAAAATCCAACTACAAGCTTTCTAACTGCAACAACTTAAATATATGCCAGCCCAGTCATGGATCCATAATAAATGCAAGATATCGTACCTTATTAATGAACTCTGAAAGACTCTCAGCTGTATTTTTCATCTCTCCAGTTCGGCTTCTCTTCACTTCTCGCGCCATCTCAGCCACTGTGTCTTGCAAGAACTTCGCATACTGCAGCCGTACATGGAGTCGCTTCTTCATGTTCTCCTGACAAAAACCATTACATTTCATAAACACGAACAATGAGACACCTCCACGTTCAATAAGATCAGAGAGATCAAAATACGGCTCAATACAGTAGGGGCAACTGTTACATTCTGCAAGGCAAACGCTAGATTACCTCCTTTGGCAGTGTACAAAGGCATCGATTGATGATGAACATAGCTCTACCCAAAGGGATGGCACTTCTGCCGCAGGGCAAACATTACATTCTCTCCTTTAAACCAACAGTTCACACGAGCCTAAGTTAACAGGTCACCTCCCTAAACTCGCGACTTGAACCTGCATGTGCCTTTTCAAAGTGGCCTGCCACATTCACTACCGGTCCAGGCCAAAATCAAAAGCCTCTTACCGCGTATACCAGTTCATGTGAACTGGTGGATTAACAGCGAACAAAAGAGTCGACACGAGCACATGAGCCTGACGAGGTTACCTTCCCAGCGCCCGCGAGCCTGCACCTGTGTGTGCCTTTTCAAAGTGGCCTGCAGCATTCACTGCCGGTCCAGGGCTAAATCGCAAAGCTCTTACCAAAATAATAAAAAAATTGACCCCCTTTTTGGTGTCGCCGGGTACCCCGGGCGTATCACCCCCCGTGCAAGTTTTCCCGGGTTGCCCAGCCGGACGCCCCGGGCCAGGCGACTCTGGTGACATAGGTTTTAATATTACCTGATACAGAGGAATGAACCATGCCTCCCTGATTCTTTCGAACTCGCACACCAGAAACTCCCGCGCAGAGCACAGGTCCGACATTCTATTTTGTTGGCAGTAAGAGGGTAGCCTTGAGGTAATCAACCTGTACACATGACCTCTATTTACCACTGAGACAAAATGTCTGGACACCCCCCGGCTATCAGGAATGTAATTCAGGAAATGAGGAAAGGAGAAAAAAGGAGAAACACGTAAATAAACAAGCATAAAATAATAATTTCATAAGCGATTAAGATGGCCTATCTACCCAAAGAGACCCTGCAACTCCACCAGGTTACATATCTCTTCTCCTCAAACTTCCCTATGCTCTTTTCCAGCATGCTCCTTTTCCAGTTTTTTCTTGATATTGTGGCCATTTCTAGTAAATGCATGCACAAGTTAGGAAACATACATCACATCGAAGGGGAAAAAAAGAAAAAAAGAGCCATACTCTGCCATCCTCATACACAACAGTCTTACAGTGAGGTAAAAATGCAAATTGCCAAACCTTCTCAACCACATCCCAACGAAGGCCAAGAGAGATATGAGCTCCCCATAATAGACACAGCACAAGGAGGGGGGGTTGGGGGGGGAAGGGGGACATCACCCAGATTAACAGTCAGCCAAATACAAAATTAAAAATCTACTACCCAAATTATGAATCCACTACACAATCTTTTTTTCCCTGATTACTTGCATCAAGTTGCATGATAACTTTTTTCAAGAGCAGTTTCCCACTTATATGCTTTCAGCCGGGCTCCCATACCAACGTTCCTACCAGGCAATGCCACTGGCATGAAAACCGATCCACCAGTTTTCCTTCATAACCCACAGGTGGACCGTAACAAAAAAAAAAAAAAAAAAAAAATCTGCAATCAGCAAGGAGAATAGCTACTATCTTCAAATTTCCTCAAGAGTCAAAACAAAAAAACACAAGCTACGCAGTCAGCACAGAGAATTGCTACTGCCTTCCCCCAATTGCAACGAAAATGAGCAATAGCAAAATGACAGAACTCCACAAATTGCAACATCGCATCGAAAGCCAGATAGTCGTGAGCTGTCCAGAAAGCAGAAATGCACAGATATCACACCAAAGTAGAACTCAATTGTCAATGAAAGCCTTCTCTCACCACGACCAACAATGTATCCAAAGCTCTTCCTCCTGATTGGCGCTAATGACGAAGCAACCAATTGACATCAGCAGCAGCAACCACAGAACATGCAGACCTCCACGACAACCAGGTACGTGCTCTCACACCTCCCCGCACTCCCCCTCTCTTTGCTCATCCCCGTCTCTCACCCACACTCACTGCCCCTAGACAAGGACCACCGCCTTTCCCCGTTGATCTCCCAATGCGCCCAACCCCGGCTATGGCTGGCTTGGCGCTGCGCTGCTTCTCAGCAGTGCCCTTCTCCCTCCTGTGCCCGTGTGCGCCCGGGCTACTCTCTGCCAGCAGACTTCCAGCACTCAGAATGGCAGCGCTGCCAAATGTGCACGACGTGCCCGAATGCCCAAGTCGTGGCCAGGCTCTTTCCTATATGGAAAGCAGCCTGGCCTGTAGGCTGCTCGACTGGGAGTCTCGTGTGCCCAGTAGCTTAACGTTGGGCCAAAGTGTCTGTGCCCAGGCCCATTCAGACAGTGGCCTGGGCCCACAGCAGTTAGGCGTGCCAAACTACCCCACGCGCCTTGACGTGTTCCCTGCTTCGTGACAAGCCGAAAGGCCTCCATTCACATAGAACCTGGAAGAGCCTAGAAGGCTCGGGGAAGATTCTGATGCTCGCGAGCAGGGCTCATGTAACCAACTGGCAAGTGGTAACTGTCTGGTGCCCACCAAGGCCTGCAAATTGCAATATTCAGGGCTCATTGAGATACACAGGCCCACCTTCACTTAGGGAGGGCACAAGGCTTCTAGCAGAGGACCCACATGCGCATGCTGAGGACTCAGAACGTACTGTGATTATCACGGTACTGTTTGGGGCAATCTTCAGTCTAGATACAGCGATAATGACCATATGTACGTTCTCTTTGGAGGATGATGGTATTAGATGGGATCATGAACTAGTGCGGGGATGAGACCCCTCGCGGAGGCCATTGGGCCCCAGGCCATGCCCTGGCTTGCTGAGGGGCCTGGTTTGCTCTAGCCTGGCAGGCCTTTTCACGTGCTGAACCCACCTCCGGGCGCTGCATTTTGCAGCAAGCTCCCTGGGCCTACCACGTCGCTCAAACCCTGCCAGCCATTGGGAGAACAGCTACCAGCGCTCTCCACGTTGCAAATGTGGCCTTGTGCCAACGGTCGGGACTGGGCTGGGCCACAGCGCCTTGGGCCCAACTGCAAGCTACTCAGGCCCAGCACTGCAACACTTTTTCCATTTAGGAAAGTGTCGGGGGCCCGGGCTGGCATTCTGCCCAGTGGCAAGTTGCGGCAGCGCTGCCCAATCGAACACTTGCTTGCTGCTGGCTGGGCACACTCGCACTGGCGCACGGGGAAAGTCGCTGCTGAAGGCAGCACCCTCGCAGCGGCCATCGCCGGGCTGCGTGCAACGCCGTCCAGCAGGGTGATAGGTAGTCCACGGGGGATAGAGAGAGAGCCTGTAGGGGAAGGGTGTGAGCGAGAGGGAGAAGAGAGACACATACCTGTGTGTATGCGGTGGTCTGCATGGGCGACTTCTTCGTGTACATTGGGCTTCTGCTGACTCGTTTGGCTGGTCGAGTCATCGTAGGTGTAGGCTAGCATAGGAGCTGAGAGATCATAGTCTGGGTGCTGAGCGCCATACGAGATGAGCGACATTGGACACATTGTTGATGGTGGCGAGACACGGCTGATGTTGGCATTTGAGTTCATTGTATTGCTATTAATTGGCTTGTATCTCGGTGCATTTCTACTTTTTGCTTGGCATTCGACTATCTGGTCTTCAATGTCATGTTGCATTTTGGTTTTCTGTCTATCGCTCACTGGGTTGGCTTCTGCTTTGCTCGTTCCTATTTGGTGTGAATCTCACTTAGATTTCTGCTTTCAATTTTGACTCGATGTCTGGTCTTCTGTGAGACGTCGCAACTTGGTTTATTGCTGTTCTCATTGCTTACTTCCTTGCAATTTGGTATCGAGCTGGTTCATAGGCTCTTGCCACCTGGTTCCAGCACCTTTGGTTGGTGTGGTGCTTGCAGTCTGTGAAAGCACTGTGATCACGTACGTGTTGGGTTGGTGGTCATGCATGAGGTGCAGCATGCATGGCTGGAAGGCTAGTGAAAGGGGTACATGATTTGTGTTGGGAGTGACATGATGCTCACCATTGCTTACGGAGGCACTTGCATTGTATTGTCAGAGGTTCAATAACCACGACCAGCCACCGAACAGCACATCATCACAGCAGGTGATATAATATGTGGTCGGGGGCAGAACTGATGAGGTATGTTGTCCTTGACCTTATCTACCCTCCTTTATACTTCTTACTGCGAGGAGTGTTCCACTTGGGAGTCCTCTTCTGATGAGGTGTGAAAGTGAACATTACCTTGAGGATCGACATTCTTCTGGCACATCTGGTGGGAGAAGGGCGGTGCCTGTGAAGTGCCCTGAGTGGTCGAAGCACGAGCCCATGTCAAAAGACAGCTCATGTGTGTAGTGCACGCATGTTTGCGCAAGTCCCATTCAGCCTTAAAAGTAGAAACCGCAATGTGGTGGCCTATGCTATGTGGGGAGAGACGGTTACAAGAGCATCTATAAAGATAGCCTGGCAGGGATAATCAAAGTCATCCTGTTTGCGACTTAAAATCATTTTCAGGCTGGGTTGGTCACACACTGTTTGGTTTGGGGCACTGGGTTGGGCCGGTTCACTATGAGTCACCACTGCTTTTCGTTCAGTCACCAGTTAATTTTGCGACGATGATCTGGGGAACATACAGAAAGGGGGTAGGTTCCAGCTGTTAACTAGATTGCATATTCATTGTCTAATTCTGCACTCGACGTATTCTGCAGGAAGCAAGTCTCATTTTCTGTTTGATTAGTTAGCTGGACAGATTGCTGGTCCTAATTAACGGTGTATAGCTAGAGCAGAAATCTACTTGGTCTGATTTGTAGATGCATTGTCAAGTTCAGAACTAATTAGACAGCATGTGTGATTTGCAAAGGTCTGTGCGAGTTTCTGTTCCATCAGTAGGTAGAGCTCCGGTCACGTCATCCTGGTATTTTTATTTATTTATTTATTTATTTGTTTATTTATTTATTTATTTATTTAAGCCAGTCAACTTCTGCAGTACGGTAGGGAAAAGGAACAGGCTGTTCTAGTGTAGAAAGAACTTCCGG